ACACACATATCAATCAATTTTACTAATAACATAACCTAAAGGTAGGTACCTCCACGAAATCGCTAAAAAAAGAGCATAGCTTGATGAAAAAGATGCCAACCTTGCCGAAAACTAAATTTTATTGTCTAAATGCTTATGTTATTATTAAGAGGAAAGACCAAAGTTTTTTTTATTTTAAAAAAATTTTCTTTTTTTTTTTTTTTTTTTTTTTTTTTTTTTAGAACATTCTAAACAAAAAACAGACAATTTTTAGCACGTTTTTTTGGTATGACACACATTAATTTGGAAACTCGTGCAAAAATAGAAATAATTATCGGATGTTAATGAAACTTTCAGGAACTATTCACAGATGATCGAAATTATTATGTTTTTTTTTTATGAAAGTCATGGTAGAAATATTTTTAAAAATATTTATTACCCTCCCCCCCAACTAATTTTATGAAAATGCTAGAAATTCGATCGCATTGGTTTTAGTGATTACAATAATTAAAAGCACAGGGCTTTGAGGAATGCAAATCATGTTTTTTTTTGTTTTTAATTGGATACACAGTACCTGAAAATCAGCTCTGAATTGTAACATACAAAACTCAATAAAACAAATATATTATTTAATTTCAAATGCTTTTATTTGCTTTTAGTTGTTTTTATGAATATGGACAATATTTTCTGAAAGCAAAAAATATTTTTCGATGAAAAATGAATTTTTAATACAATTATTTGTTATTTCATTAATTATAATAGATTTTACATTTAAGTTGTTAAAATATTATCGGCTTTCATAAGTGTCCTTATATGAGATAGATCTTTTTTTAGCGCGTTGTAAATTGTATCATTTTGACTAATCAGAAGATACCCAGTAATTAAGAAATGTAATTTTGTGCTTATAATCGAGCTGTAATTATAAAATACGGAAGACCAATCAGAATATAATTAAACTGCGTTATTTGAGTTAAGCATTGTTCTCCGCTGTTAAGGCCTTTACTTTTGCGAAACACGTGTGGAGAAGTTAATTTGATTTTTCAATTTCAACTGAGAAGGGTACCTACAAGTATCAGTATCATCTTATGAAATTTATATGATCTTATTTTTATATTAATCTCAGTTACGACATTTTTCCATAAATGAAATATCAAAATTAATAATAAAATGAATACAAATAACAGTAGAATGTAATAAATGTACATAAAATTATAGTATTTTATGTACAATTCTGATAAAATTTCATAAGAAAGGTACCTATAAATTAATTAGATACCTTTCTTATGAAATTTAATGTCACTCTTAACAGTTTTATTTTAATTTCTTTACAATATATTTCCCATAAAGCATCATAAACGTAAAGGTGAAAGCTAAGTACAAAAAAAAAAAATTAGACCGCTGAGAGTTTTTCGTTAAAAATAACGGGTAAATAATTTGTTCACGTAAATGTAAATTATTTCACTTTTCTCCTTCCGTAGAACAAATTAGCCTCATGGAATTAAGTAAATATATCATTCATCACATGTCAAGAGACGCGAAAGTTTATGACCTGCTTTGTTTTATTTTCAAATTACATCTTTTTGGCATAAAAGCTAAGTTAAGTTTGGTTCAAAATATTTTAAATAAACATAATTTCTGATTTTCTTAAAATAAGTTTAGAAAAAAATGATAATTGATATTTAAAAAAATTTCAAAGTCAGATTTCAGTTTTTTTTTTTTTTTAAATGGAAAAAAAATGGTCAATTTTGCTGACTCAAAAAAAAAATAGATTTTAACGAAAATTTCGGACGTGCTAGGAACGATTTAAAAATGGAAAAAAATACCCAAAAAAATACTTTGACCTTTCCTGTTAATAATAACAAACATTTAGACGATAAAATTTTGTTTTCGTCAAGTTTGGTGTCTTTTTCATCATGCTATGCTCTTTTTTTAGCGATCTCGTGGAGGTACCTACCTAAAGGTATAAGATTGTTCACACAAGTGTTAACAAACTTAGTAATATCTACAAAATAAAATTGCCTAATGTTCATTGTCATGTGAAACCTTAAAATATAGCAACTATCTGAAAAATCATAAAGTAAAAAATAAATATCTTGGTTGGTCTTTGCATTGGTTATTCATGACTTTAAATATTTCAATACTATTTTCTCTATGCATCATCTTTGCTACTCCATAGCCTTCTTTTGCTACTTTATGTATATATTTATATAGTTTGAAAAAACTTAAGAATAAAATTATGGTTAACAATGATGATACTTGCTATATAAATTTACTTTTTGCTAAGAATAAATTAAATAAACTGTTCTCCATAATGTTCAAAATATTTTGTAAAATATTGTATAATCTTTACTCTTCAAAAAAACAATTAACATGGAGGTGCTTATTTAGATTTCTATCTTTAAATTAAAATGATTTTACTGAAATTATCCCAAAGAATATATCGAAGTGAAAATTTCTGAGATAATGAATTCTAAAATTTAATTAGGGTGTAGTTATTAACAAGTTTAATACTCCATGACAAACCAACTTTGATATAATGAACCAGTTTACATAAGTTTTATCTTTTGAAGACTTTAATTAGCTTGTTAGTAATATTATATTATCTTTTATCATATATAATTTGGGTAAAAGGTGAGCTTTCTTTTAAAAAATTATAAGAACATGTATAATCACAGATTTTATAGTTTTGCCTTGATATATCAACAGTGATAGATTCTTATGGTAACTTTTTGTTGTTTTATAGTTTATTCAACCTTTTCCTATGGTAGCTCATAGATGTAGTTTTGGGTAATCATTTCAAAATGGCTTTAAATTCAATTCTGTACATGCATCTATGGCATTCTAATACCATTAAAATGTATTCTGTAAATATTTGAGCATCTTGTGTATGTAAAATAAATGTGGCTAGAAAGCATAGGATAATCAAGAAAAGATGTTTGCAATACTAACATCTTAGACAATATAATTTAAAAAAATTACATTTTAATATTTATTGAAAATTTTAAACTATTAAGATTTCTGAGTTTGAAAAATTTTAGTACAGTGTAACCCGGATATAAGAGTTGTCGGGACCGGAGAATAAGTCTCTTATATCCGGGTTTGGTCTATTTTATATACATTAACACAGGCTCTATTTTGGGACCAGAGAAAATCTCTCTTATATCCGGGTCACACTGTATAATGCAGTTCAACTATGATGTTACAACTTAATCCCTTCCTTCCTACCAACAAAAAAGAAATAATAATGTTTAAATAACAGCTATACTATCAGAAGATTACATGACTATTAAAAGCATGAGAATCCCATCTGGGCTTCCAATTGGTTTAGCTTATTCCTTAATTTATTACTTCAAACATTAATTGTAAAATCTATAGTAACACTAACAGAAATAAAATTAATGTTTAACTAACATTTAAGAACATGCTTTGAGGAATGTCAGTGTTCTACTTCCTCCATCTTGTACAATATTTTCCTGAATGTCGTTTAGGAAGTTATTGGAATTTTTTAGATAACCTTTGAAGCCAAGCAGTATCTAAACATTTTATTCCAGTAAGGAATTCAATGCAAAATTGTGCTTATTCATCACTATTTATGTAACCTGATTTGGTCAAACTAAATTTGTTTGTTTTAATTTCACTTTTCAAATATAACCATTTGCAAGTGTTAGCTCTGAGCTTTCCAACCCAAATTTGACCATGTTAATAAAATCTTTTCTTTTATTTATTTAAGTCTCCTGTATAATTTAATCCAGTTGTGGCAGTGATTGTTTGTCTAGTGTAAACACAACTGATTTACTTTGAATCCTAGTGTAATGGTACATGGCAATATAAAGTCTAGCTGGTTTAAAAAAAAAAATAAAAAAATAAAGCCTTTCCTTTTGAGTACTTAAAAATTGCTGTAATATACTGGGTTGGTCAAAAAGTTCATTTGGTTTATTGAGCAAAAATGAAATATTTTATTTTCAACATTAACTTTATTGAACAGTTTTACTGTTTTGTAGCACTGTTTGCCATCTTTCAAGCAACTTCATTTCCCTCTTGTAAGCCTCTTTAGGCTTACAAGTGTGAAATGAAGTTGCAAAGGTACCTAAATGCAAGTTACAGACTTGCTGAAAATTGAAAAGATCTCTTGCATTGAGTAGTGTTATAAAGTATCCACTTTTTTTATCAGCTTTCTCAATTTGTTTCAAAGAAAATTTTTATTAAACTTAAGTAGCAAAGTGTACATAGAAATGCAGTGAAATAGTTTTTTTCTTGCAACTAACATAACCAAATAAAAATTTTCAGCACTTGATTTAGATTTTAGGTATACTATTTCTCTCTCTCTAATGTCATTTAATAGTGGCTGATGGTGTGCCAGACAAAGGAAACCTTAGTAAATATCAACTGGGATCACTTGACCATGGAAAATCATTCAGTGTGAAATTTCCAGTACAAAAATTTGCAAAAACACTTTAACATGTTCACAATTCTTGTACAGTTATATTTTTACCTTTTCTTAAAATAAAAATATGTTGAAAATGTTTATTTTCTTTTAACTCCAATATTAGTCAATGAACAAAAATGTGCCATTTTTTTTTTTTTTTTTTTTTTTTTTTTTTTTTCCTCAATACCTTCCTATGGTAACTGTCACAATATGATCAAAATTTATAGTTTTCAATGAAATTAACATATGCTTCAATAAAAATAGAATGAACTTTTTGGCCAACCCAATAGTTTATATCTTTATAGAATTTTAATTTTTGTAAAATAATCAATGATTGCAGTTGGTGAGGTTACAAAGTAATAACTTCAATTATTCTATTGAAAAAAAAAAAAGTATTTCTCCTGTTAAAAAATTTCCCTTTCATGAGATTAATAAAACTGTTGTCTTTTATATCTTGCTATTTATATAACATAGTAAAATGTCTGACAACTTCTGTTCATTTTTCAATGTCTTGAAAATATTCTAATATTAAACCCTCCCAATATAAAATGTCTTTTTTACATCTAGCAATAAAAACCTAACTTATTTATTTCAGGCAAAAGTAAATTGGACATATGTTCAAAACAAATCACATGTGGTGCTTGTATAACTGCTGGAGGAGAATGCAGTTGGTGCAGCAAGGAAGTAAGTTTCTATTTTAATTTTGGAGGAATGAGTAGGTGTGTTGTATAAATTGGCTGTAACAGATTTATCATACGCAAACAGATAAGTATCTCTGTTTTCCTACTACATTTGTTACTCACCCATCAAGCAACTTTTTACTACTTTCATGTTATTATGACATACTTTATACTCTACTTTTATTAGACATTTTTCTAATGAAAGTTATATAAATGCTGAATTATGCATTTTCAAATTTAAAAATTGAATTCAGTTTCATTATTAATACTTAGATACATGAGCTTAAAGAATTCCTTAGCTTTTATTTACAGTGTGCACTTTTTTTATCTTGTGTGTGTATGTACTTATAAAATTAGATGTGCATGTATTCTTATGACTAATATCTGCAAGGGTGTGCAAACCAAATCATTTATTTTTGAAGTTTTTTGTGAGCATATAGAAAATGAGCCACATTGACTTGTTTTATTTGTTGTAAACAATCTGATCATGCATTAGTTTGCTCAGAAAAAATTGCTGAATTTGAAGAAAAAGCATTTTTTTAATAAATTTTTCTCCATTCTAATTTTACACAGAATCTATATAACTTGCTTGAAACAATACCAGTTTCTCATCAAATTTTTACTTATGGAAATGATGAAATAGTTTCAATGTTATCTCCTCTGAGTGCTATCCTACAAAAGCCTCAACGTTAATTTTTCTCATTTATTTAATTTCTTGGACTTAGTTTTGTATAATCACTAGTATGAAACTTTACTCTTATTTGAATTCTGTTACCTTTTAACAGAAGTTGCCATAGAGCAGCAGATAAAAATGCAATCATAGACTACAATGAAACATAACTGTATCAGATGTGTTGATATTTATGTGTCTTTTTCTTTAAAGACACCTACAAATAAAAGTAGGAAGATTGTTACACTAATCTTCCATACCTTGAAAATCGGCATTCTAAATCCTGGCTTTTGTTGGGTTTGAACATATGCAAGTGTGTGTGTGAGTGGTGGTGATGTAACTGCATGTATAAGGTAAGATTTCAAGACTCATTATAATCATAGTAAAATGATTCCTTAGTACTGATGATGAGTTTGCCTTCATAATGAAACAAAGCAGAATTAAATTCCTTCCCTATAACTTCTTATACATTTTATTATTTTCCCTTTGGTATAACTAAGAATTCTCATTTGCAATTATTTTTGCTAATGAAAAATTGTCATTATTCATGTTTCATTTTCTGTCATGCATTTATTTGGAGGAAATAATATGGAAAGTAGAATTTTGGTTAAAAAAAATGTGCTATGTCTCTTAATAGCTTCATATTTGGGATAGTGTTATTTTATTTAACATCAAATTTCATTTTATAAATGAATTCTACTAGTTCTGGTTCATAAATTGATTGAAAGGACAATCTTATTCACTTTCTAAAACAACTTTAAACCAAGTGAAAACATGCTTAAAGCAAATGAATGCTGAAATTTTTTTTTTTTTTTTTTTTTTTTTAGGATTTCTCACATAAACGCTGTGATAAATATGAAAATTTGATTAAAAATGGCTGTGCCGACTATATTGACAACCCTGATCATACAGCTCAGGCTTTTAAGGTAAATACTTTTTCTAAAACTCTATTTGAAATTTTTTAAAAATTTGTCAAAATATTAAAATAACTTTGCAATCCAACATCCAATGTTGTAGATTTAATGGTAACTGGATGAAAGGACAATTAATTGCTGAGTAATTTGGTATATTGATATCCTGTTTAATGTTATATTTATTCTTGTTGCACATGCTTATTTGTTGAATTTAAGTTGAAGACTAACTTATTTACATAATTTATGCTCAATATAAGATAAGAAGCAATACAATCATTTTGAAACCAAAGTGAAATATAAAATCAAATGTTAGTAAATCTGTTATTAGTTCATGTAAATCTTCTATTCAGCATTCCTTTCTGCAGCTGTAAAAATAAATTTTCTTATTGAATCTAAAAACTGATAGGAACCAAGGAAAGGACAAAGTTGATTATATCAGAATAATGCTTGTTGCTTATCAAAACAACTATATAGGTATTTTTAAACTTCAAAATACATTTGTATTCTCACTGAATTTTGTTGGGTTTTTTTTTGTTCTCTTACATTTGAGTGACCATTTTAATACAGAATGTTCCCTTATGTCTTTGAAAATCTCGGGAGTTATTTCTCAATTTTCTTTACATATCAAACTATAAAATACTTATGTTCTGAAATTCAATTATTTATATTATCACTTGACAAATTCAACAAATAGCTAGAGATTTTTGTGAAAATAAACTCATAAGTTTCCTCAGCCTCTCTCTAAATATTTTAAATGGTTTTAGACTTGAATGAAAACCCCATAACTGCAGTTTTTGATTTATTATAAAATCATGATTTTTTTGATTTTTTTTTTTTCCTTGAATTTATCCCTTTTGAGTGAAATTTAGAATGGAAATTTTAAAGGATGTTTGAGGATGATTGTAGGGATTGAATTATGATTGTTTAATATCAATGTTGTTAAAGACATTTAATATTGTTGAAATTTGGAAGCATATTATACTGTATATTTCTTTGATCATTGATTAAAATATTTTTAAAAAGATTATATGCTAGTTATTCTTTTTGATAACCTCATTGCTGGAATGGGGACTATTCTGAATTGAAAAAAATTAAATTTGTTAAACATATTTCAACTGGATTAGGAAATCACTTTAACTTGAAGGTACTAGATAATCAAATGCATCTTAGAGTAATATATAACAAAATATCAATTTAAGTAATAGCTTTTTTTTTTTTTTTTTTTTTTTTTAAGAAATTTTACACTTGTTTTATTGAATACTGGAGTTATTCAGGCTCAACACATTTTTAATGATACTTTTTTATTTGAGAAAATTTTATCTGAAAGAGCAAAAACAGAGGCTTCATAAAGTTTAATACCAATAGAAATCTGTTTAGTGAAAGACCAAAATATTGTAAATTTTATTTGCTACAAAGTACAAAAGGGACTTTTACCTTGATACAAAAGAAAACTGTATATATAATAAATACTGAAATATTACTTGGAGATAAATATCCATTGATACTCTAAAAAAAACCACATTATCTTCCATATTTTATCAGAATGAATCTTTGAAAAATGCTGACAAAAATTCTGAAGCAATTCAAATTCAACCTCAGCACATAAAAATTAAAATACGTCCCAGTAAGTATCTTTTTATTCATGTTACTTTATAAAAGTAAGAATAAGTTATGTTGTTTCTCTTGCACACAGCCACTAGTATTTCCTTTTTCAAATGTTGCCATTTTTTTAGAATGTTTTGTGTAAAACAATGTTGTGTAATCTAATGTTATTAAGATGTTAAACTTTCTTACCAACTCTTTGCTATACAGAAAAATTAAGATATTAATGATTTTTCTATTTTCTACTGTATAAAAATCTACTGATGCTTGCTTAAATCTTTTTTTTTAAAAAAAAAAAAGTTTAAAAATTCTGATAAGTCATTTATCACAGTGACACACCTGAAGAAATTTCATATTGTCCATATCTTCTGAAGTATTTTAAAATAGATTATTTGAAAGAAAAGCATACTAAAATGCCAATCTAATGTCTAACCTTTTTTGTAGGATTTATGTGTTTTCCTTTACTGTCTTATAAACTGAAGTTAATAGAAAATGTTTAAGTAATTTTGTGATGCTCAACCTCTTTTTGAAGATACTCTACTGTAGTTTTATGCTCTATCTAGATATTTATCTGGAATGAGATGTAAGGAGGGGGACTTGTCTAGTATAGCTGTCAGCACCTTAAGAGAATTGTGAGAACATTTTTCTTGTTCAGGTTGCACAAGTAAATTTCAATAATTTTTTTTTTTTTTTTAAATTTTGTTTGATTAGCTCTGAAAAAAATTGTTCACCTTCATTTACATTTTCTTATGTATTTGCCTTCTTTTCATAGATAAGCCTTATAATTTCAAGCTAGTATTCCGTCAAGCAGAAGATTATCCTGTGGACTTGTATTATCTTATGGACTTATCAAATTCCATGGAAGATGACAAAGCTAAACTAGCAAGTCTGGGAAATCTTATTGGTAAGTTAGATAAAAACAACATATTTTGCTTTTTAATAGAAAACATGTAAAAAAAAAAAATAACTATTTTTCTCTAAAGAAGATTATAAAACAATACTAGTTAACATAAATTTGCATGATTTACTTTTCTACTCTGTAGTACAGAAATTAAAATAATACACATGATTACCAATCAACATTGTAATCTGATTCTCAAAAGTTCAATCATATTTTTGGGAATCATTATATTTTATATTTCCATCTTTATTTTTCTTTTTGGCTTATATAGGTGAAATCTATAATCGTATGCTTGAACTTTTCTATTTATGCATTCAATATAGTCCACTTAAAAAACAAAAATAATGTAACTTTGTTTCTTGCATATGTAATTTGTGTGTGTGTATATATATATATATATATATATATATATATATATATATATATATATAAAATGAGTTAAATAAAATCTATATTTAATTGTTTATATAATTTTTGAATGCTACACTTCCTTGTTTTGATCAAATGTAATTTGCATCCAATAATCTCTGACACAATGACTTGTTTTTAATCACTGCATTATTGTTAAACTAAGCCTGGTAAATGTCTGATATGGAATATTCTAAGCCATTTGAACATTTTAATTCAATACTCAGGCTTAGGTAATTGTTATTTCTTAAATACAGCATCAATCTCTCAATTATCTAAAATATAGTAATCATCATATTTTATTCTATCAACTTTTGTTCTCTTTTCAGCTATAGATATGTCCACAATTACCAAAAATTTCCGGCTTGGATTTGGATCTTTTGTGGATAAGACTGTGTCCCCATATATCAGCATATCACCAAAGAAGTATGTTCATAATGAAATTCTTTTTTCCTTTTCTCTGCAATAGAAGCATATATGATTAGTGAATAAAATGAATTTTAAATTTTCAAAATATCCACTTGCAGTCTTTGCTGATGTTTGTTTACATTTATTAAAATTAGTTCTTTCGTAAGCCTGCAGAAAATTGAATTAAACTATTTTTATTTTCAAAGTCCTGTCTTGAAAAGATCACCAAGGAAAAACTCATCCAATTTAGTCTATGCCACCAACAAAATTATGTATTGAATCATATAATTGATCCTCTGCTGTTGGATTTAAGCACAAATTGGATGATTCTAATTTTGTGAAATACTTTTTCATTGATGTTTTGTTTAATATCCTTCAAACTAAACTAGATATGACCGTTTGTTTAAATGAAGTGATATAATACGAAATAATATTAATGCATGTTGGCCTAGCAAGGAATTAAAAGAATAGAATTCTCTGAAACCATAGTAGTTGTATAATGAAATTATAAACGCTATAGTTTGAAATTCAAAGAATAATCTACGACATTTTCATGACGCCCTAAAATCAATATATTATTTTGATACCATTCATCTTCAAAAATGAATTACCCACTGCTTACTACAGAGAAAGGTTTTATGAGGAGGAAAAGAGATGTTATTGATGCATTGCATCTTTGTGAAATGAGAGGCTCTACAAAAATTGTTCAAATTGTGCAATCAATCTTTGCAAAAGTATCTACTACAAATAGTACAAAGATTATTTTCCTGCTTTGAAAAGGCTAAAACGTTTCCTGAAAAATAAAACCAAATTTAGCAATGTCACAAAAGAGAAAAAAATTACTTCATAAAATCAATTATTTTTAGGGAAATATTAAATTTGTTTAGAATGTGGAATATAATTTTACTTATCAGTAGGTATGTGTTTTGTGATATTTAGTGTTAGCCTATCAGTTTTCAAAATACTAGATGTACCAATTACATTTAAGAAAATTATGAATGTGAAAATTTACTGTATCAGAAATTCTATTAAAAAATGTTAATGCAAAAAGAAATTGCTCATGATGCATGTCAGAATTCTGTTACATATGAAAAGAAATAATTTGGGAAATTTTTCTTGCATAAAAATTTTATATCCAACCACAATTATAATTTTTTTTATTTTATTATTTTTTACTCTTCACCAGGAGACATTCTCCTTGTAAAAACTGTTCAGCACCTTATGGATTCAAACATCAATTAACACTTGATCTTAACACTTCCTTGTTTGCTGTGAGTATAAAAAAGTAACCTTTTTTTTTTTTGTTCTACAAAAATGCATCCTACTCTACCTATTTTTGTAGTTTTTAATTCATTCTGTAATTGTCAATAATATTTAATAGAATCTTTTTCAGAATGTTTTAATTTAATTTTCTAGTATCTACACTAATAGATCTTAATTTTTAGGATTATAGAATACTTGATGCAGATTGTGCTTTTTGTTCTTTAAATAAACTGGAACGATTGAGTGGGACTATAATGTAAAGCAAGGAGTACAGTTAGCATAAAAAGTAAAACGGTTGTAGTTTTCCCATTTTTAAATTGTTGGTGAATGTTTTGAACACCAGAATTTTATTATATTTGAAATTTGTTTTGCTCTCAAAATATATTTTTGGCATATCATATCAAAATATCCACATAGCTCAGATATATGGTCTAAGAAAATTTAAAATGTTTTTTCATTTATCTATTATGACTGGAACCAATTTAGAGCTTTTTTTTTTTTTTTTTCTCTGAAAAAATGAACTTGTAGATCAATTTTTATTGCTATTCTTGCTCGTAGGCTAAAGTAAGAGAAGTTCCTGTGTCTGGAAATCTGGATTCTCCTGAAGGAGGTTTTGATGCTATTATGCAAGCAGTTGTTTGTGATGTAAGTGAATTTGCAGATTTATTTTTATAGTTGCCTTTTTTATTTTGCTCTCCCTCTTTTTAAAATTTTATCTTTTTGTAATCTAAATGATTATGCTTTTTTTTTCTTTTTTCCTACATCTCTGTCCTTGTTCTGTCTTTATTTGTTACTTTTGCTAATTTTGTGGGGAGCGCTAAAAAGTTATTCAGCTTGGTCAAGAAGCCTTTTCAAAAAATTTTCAGCACCACTTATTAGTTAGTGAGAACAACCCTGAAAGTGGTAACCTGTGCAATTTTGATTTTGGATGTCTAAGAATTGTCTGTTTGTTCAGAGCCATAGAACTTGAGTACACATTACCAATATTTGAAAGCAACAAATTGAAACACGCTTCCACATTATTTTCTTGGCACAAAAAAAAAAAATTAAAGAAAAAACACTTAAATTCAGAATGTATTGTTCCTTTTGTCACAGTCTGTCAATCCATATGTATAATTGATCATTATAGTGTTGTCTTTTCTTTTTTTTCTATATTTTTAAAGCAGACTTTCCAAAACTTTTTTGGGAATTGTGATCACCTTTTGTTTAATGAAATTTGTGTGCACTCCTAACCTATTTTGGTAAAAGACATTTAGACACTTGTCTGCTTGAAGGATCATGCACATTTCTGGTAAAAATCTGCTACAGAAGACCAGACATTTAAAAGATTCTCTACTTTAAAAAGTTGCTTACTAGATTTTTCTTTGGAGGAAATGATACCCCTGAGATAATTTTCTTTAAGACTTTTCTTAAAACTGCATTATTGTTTATTCTTTCAGTCATTTAAGGGAACTAAATTGTCTAATTTTTCATGTGAAATAGGAGGCAGGTTCAAATAAAAAAAAAATTGTTCACATACATTCAACAAAAATAAATACATAATTTGTTTGTTTTTTTTTTTTTTTTTTTTTTTTTACAAAAAATATAACAAATAACTAGGTAATTTTTGGGTCAATAATTCAAACAGAAAGCAACAGCAGCTATTGAGTTTGAAAACATTATATTCAAAATATAAAAAATATACAAAAATTGATTTTTAAAAAAAACATGCAAAAAGTTTTTTCATTTTTAGTTATTTAGAAATGACTTGGAACAAGTATCCTCATCTTTATAAAATTATCAACCATATTCATGCCTTTGTAATCCTCCTTGACTGGGATAATCTCTTTTCAGCTGTCTTAGAAAAGTTTAAATGTACATTTCATGGTAAAACATTTAGTAAAGAGACCAGTTTATGTATACAAGGAATAATTTACCCTTAGGTATTTTCTTTTTATAATGCATGACTACCAAAATTTCTTGTTCCTTCAAGTAATAGCATTATGAAAGTTTTTTTTTTTTTCTCTCTCTCTCTTTCCTTCCACTCCCAATATATTAAAGTAAAAGAGATATACACACACACACACACACACACACACACACACACACACACACACAAGATTTGTTTTGACATTTATCATCATTTGTCACCAGTCAGTCTTTTTCAAAGACATGTCTCGCTGCACTTTATTCCTTTGATCCCTGATGATAATTTAAACCTCTATAGTAAAAATAAAAATCTTTTCATGGTATTTTAACTTATAAAATTTCCAATAAGACTTTTTCTCAAGGAACATTATTTTTTTTAATGTTAAAACACACACACACACTCATATTTATCTAATACAAAGAATACATGCTTAAAGAGATCGGGCATAAATTAGAATCATGTGACACCTCACTACACTGGCTGACTGCACAAAGGTGAAAACAGAACTCCCACTAGACACACATGTACATAATTTCAAATACACATTACCATCTGTTGCCCATTTAGATATACAAGAATCTTCACAAACTTATATACATATAGAATTATATATGGTTTCCACTAAAAATAATGTTTAAATAATGCATGTTTGTTGTCAAATACAATTCAACAATAGATAGTATTTACTCTTCTGAATAATTTATTTTTCTTCAGTTCATTTATTAAAAAAAATGACTTCAGTTAAATTATAATATCATTCAAGTAACTAAGTTCTTTCTCTTTCATACTTTTAAAAATATATATATATATATATATAAACTATTAATAGCAATTTTTTGTCCTTTATTAAATACTTTAAACAATAATGAATGTAGGTAAAATTAATAGGAAAGAATCCTAACATATATAAATTGCTGAGAATATGACATTTAAATATTTTTAATGATAGGAAATTGGTTGGCGCCCTATTTCCCGTCGTATGTTGGTATTTTCTACTGATGCTGCATTCCATTATGCTGGTGATGGTAAGGTATGTATTTTAAGCATTAAGTGAATCATTTAAATTTTACAAAGATATCTTTTCTCAATCTTTTTTTAAAATGAAATCAGAACCTTTTTACCTGTAAAAAAAAAACTCTTTAAAGCAGATAAGTGATCTTTTATAAAGGGTGACACAGGTTTGAACTATGACTGAAAGTGCATTTTAAGTTTTTCAGTTACACAGGTTGTAAAAGTAATACTGTTTAAAACAAAAAAACTGAATGTCTATTCAAACAAGAGTATACACTAAAAACAAGTAATAAAAACTTGATAATGCATTGATGTCTATATTATAGGTATCACATACAGGATTTTTGTCAGGATATCTTGTGATAACCCTTTTGTATTCTTAGATTATAAACTAATTGCCTTTATTTTTTTTCCTAAAAGTCTTTCTAAGAATATGAATTCTATATTAGAAATTAGAATTTTTAAAACTTTTTAAATGTGCACTTTTTTAAACTTGCATTTTTGGAAAACTATTAAAAAGATATTTATATAGAAACTATTCCAGAACTCTTAACAAGCAGTTAAACTTTAACATATTTAAAAAAAAAAAATTCAGCTATTGTAGTTTTCTGTTAAATTAGATATATTTTGCAGCAAATAAGTACTTCATTTATTTAATTGTTGTGTAGATCATTTTAGTTATGTATATATTGGGATGGTACATAATTATCAGGCGTTTTTGTAGGCGAGTTATTTAATAAAAATTACTGTTTTGTTTACTTTTTTTTTAAATATTATTTTATTTTCAGTTTATAAAAATGTATATCGATAATCATATGCTCCAGAATAATAATTTAAAAATGTTATTGTTGAATTATATTTTGTTTTTTCATAATAAATATTGTTTTAAAAACGCCTGATAATTATGCACCAACCCAATATGTATGTATACAAATCTGACATTTGACCAATGAATGAAATAAAAATAATTTATTTGATATCTGTAAAATATTTTGATTAAATGTTTATACATTTTAGAAAACTATCTAGTTTCATCAAATTAATTTAAACTGCTTAAAATACAATAAAAATATACATTTTCAGGCATACAATAATTCTGGTATTGAAACCATATTCTTAAAATTGGATAGCCCCCAAACCTCTTGTCATTTTCACTTCAGCTTTCATATGGCATAATAAAATCCATAGATAAACAGTATAAGCTTCAGTATTCAAACAAAACTCTTAGTTTTTCTCATTTTAATATAAATCAAAAGTGTTAATTTTTATTTTTTTTGCATCGTTGAGTTGGTGGCAAAGAAAACTCCTCACTGGCCCATTTCTCGAAGTCTGACCAAATATCGGCTGAGGACTTTTCAACACCCTCTTATACTAATAATTTTTTTTTTCATCAGTTCAAAATTCCCCAAAATAGTTTTTAATATATTTTGACTGAAAGAAACATTCATTGAATTTATTTTAGCTTGGTGGCCTTGTCAAACCAAATGATGGATCCTGCCACTTGGATAGGCATGGTGAATATACAATGTCCAATAAACTGGTTTGTAATTTTATGCTTTTAAATTTTTATTAAAAAAATGTATGTAAATTAATAACTATTATCAAGAAAATAAATAAAAAAAATTGAAATACTGGATATTTTTACTTTAAATTTAATGAATATTCTGGAAATTCATTTCAGTTTTAAATCCTTAGCAACCGTTACTTAACCCATTGAAGTGTTAGTCTAATCACTGAAAAGAATTCTGCAGCTTGACATGCAAGTAGAATATGGTTGTTTATATGAGCAACTTTTTACTAGACATTTGCAGCTCATCACTGTTGATTTGTTGTTACATAGGCAGTTTCTGAAAGATTAAAATTTACCCAAGATGTCCAGGGATAGTGTATTGGCACGTAATCGGGTCTGTTAAACAGATTAAAATGTTTCATTCTTAACAAGGGTAGAAAAATGTCATATGTAATATGACATTAACTACTGGATAAGTTTTGGAAAGCTTAAGTAAAAAATGCAATGAACTATAGCAATAAGAATGAAAACCATTATTAGTAGTACAGGATTTTATAGCTTGAAAACAGATATATTGAAAAAGTATATATTAATATATAATGCAAACAAATATATTAAAACAAGAGGAGGAAGTGCAAAGATGAAAAAATATGTATTCACCATAAAATGCTAGATTGAAATAATTTAAAAAACAATTGTTCATCACTCTTTAGAGCTTAATCAAAAAATTAAAAAATATTTGATCAATACATCATTTTTTTTTTATATGGGGGAAATATTCTGAACTTTTATTGCTTGGCTTTAAATTTTGGAATATTTAAGTGGAGATAATTTTATAGATATTAAGAATTAAACCTGATATATTTATCTCCCTCTATAACTAAAAAAAAAAAAAAAGTTATATTAAAAGAGTAAAGTATTTTGAAATGGCTTGGGCTATAAAACTGGCTTTAGGTGTATGCAAATGTGACTAATTTTGGATGTGCTGATGATTACTTTTAACTTTAACACAAAATTACTTATTTTCAGTTTTGATTGAAATTAAGTGAAAAAATAATTAGGAACAGGAAAAATTAAAATACATTTTAAAAGGAAAAATATTGAAATATTTTTGCAACCTGTTTCAATAATTTACATATAAAGAATTTAAACAATGAATATTCAGCTTCAAATCTATATTTACTTTAATAAAAGTAATCTCTTGAAATGGAAAATATATAATCTGTTTTCTTAAACTTTCATTGTATAAACTCTAAAAGAAGTGTATAACAATTTGACATACTTAAATGGAAATCTGTAATATTGCATTTCTCACAAGATATTAAAAGTTTTTTGAAATTTCTCTTCCCCCCAGGATTATCCATCTATTGGACAGTTAGCATCCAAAATTAGTGAAAAGAAAGTAAATGTAATATTTGCAGTAACTGCTGATCTTTTGCCAATGTATGAGAGTTTAAGTAGGTTTATTGAAGGCTCCACATCAGGCAAATTGGAAGGAGACTCCAGTAATGTTGTAACACTGATCAGAGAAAACTATAAAGTAAGATTTTATTTTGTTTTTTTTATTTTTTATTATATACAGTTTAAATTTATGAATGTCTTTTATTATACTTTATTCATAAATTAGAATTTGTTTTATGGATGTAGAACACCAAAATTTCAAATTTTATTCTAATTTTGTTTTAATATTTTTGACATTTTAAAAGCCATAATTTGTAAAAGTGATTCAAAAAATTTTATTTACTTTTTAGAAAAAAAAAAGTTCTTTGATTATTTTCTAGATTTTGTGTAAATATTTTTTTCAGAAAATCACATCTAAAGTTGCATTGAACACAAGGGATGCTGAAAATGTTACTGTTAAATTTTTTTCATCATGCATGGGGTAAGTAATTTCAATTAATTGACTTCAAACTTAGTTTAAATTCTTAAGGTTAGTTTTCTTTTTTAGTATCCAGTATGAATAAACTTTCTGATTTTAAAAAATAACAAAGTTTGTATTTATTAAAATGTGTATGTAAAATTTTGCACATGCACAAAACAATTTCATATAAATTTGAATTTACAACTGAGTCAAAAAGTAATGCAATTGAAAGAGGTGGTGACTGTTGAGAAGCAAGGATGTGAACCTGTGATGTATATATCTTGATGTATGGTATGTTTGTGTTCCTTATCTTAGATAATAAAACGAATTGCTTTACTTTTTGACTCTCTCTCATATTTCTAAACATTGAACTTGTTTAAAATCTTCTCAGTGACTTTTTTTTTTCTTTTCAGTGATAAATATAAAGAAACCGATGAATGTAGTGGATTAAGAATTGGTGATAAGGTATTTATAGTTTCTTTGTTTAATGTCTGTTTCCATACAAAAATAGTGGAAAAAACTTTTCAATAACTTCATAATAAAAATTAGATAGCTTTACTTTCTTGATGTTATGTACAACATAACATTGAATGAAAAAAATTTTTCATTATTTAAAATTTAATAAGTTCCTAAACAGAATTTTTATAGAGCTTTCATGAAAATGTTCACTAACAAAAAATAACCAGTGGTTTAAAAAAGATGGAATTACATACTCATTTAGATTATGGGTTTGGTATTAAATAGCTCTTAAGTTCTTAATTTGAAGCTAATATATATTAAATTATATTTTATATAATGGTAGCATATGGCTCATTACTGCACATATAAACAATTATGCCATTAAAAGAATCATCCAATTGGTTCATTATGAGCATAAACTATTTTCTATAGTAATTTCCTATTTTTGCAGAAACCAGTAGTTTGTATTGAAAATGAACTTGTTATTCTTGAATATTAACTGCAGATAGTCAAAAACGAATAAGTAGTCAATACTGATAAACACCAAAGAATGAAAAGAACTCCAAACACATTGACTTGAATAAAGTCAATATTTGATTAAATAATTTGAGTGCATTTGTATATTTGTTAATGTTTTTGATGTTCACTCATTAACAAAATATTAAAATATTCGTGTTAATCAAAATCTGACTACCTACAAGTATTAAAATGAAAAATTTTCTAGCGTTTTTTATGTAATCATTTATTCACAAATTCAAGGCATCATAATTCGGCCATGAAATTGTTTTCTCTAACTTTCTATAATATGCCACTTTAGAGATAAATTGTGTGTGGAATCATAAAACAGTGATTCCAAATATTTATTGAATTTGAGCAAGCAAAGAGTGTAACAGCAAAACAAAAAATAGTCTGAAGGTGACAAGAGAATATACCATTTTCTTAGCTTCTGAAGTTTTCTTAAAGCTTGTAACTGATGCACTGCAATTGACTGATTCACTTGTGTAAGTTTTTATTTGTCTTGTATGTTTCTTCAAAGATTCCTCTAATTCATCTGTTTTTCAAGTCCTAAAGTCTTCAAGTATCTTATCTTTGAACTGAAAATCTTTTGATTGTTTATTTATCTATTATTACTATAAGTTTTAGTAATCCATTGCCTCGCTTCCGCTGCACTCTTCCTCAGGAAGGTGCTAAATGTATATTTTATGTTTAGCCATAGTTTTCACCAAAGTTAATAAAATTATAACTTTCCAAGAAAAATTGAAGAGCATGCATGTACAGGTGATAAAGACCTGAGTAAACATCTGACACTGTTAAAATTTCCCTAGCATTGGACAAAAGATGGCCCTAGGAACTGTTACATCACTCTAATATAGTTTTTGCAATATTACTTTCATCTTTTTAAAATTATCTAATAGCTACTATTATTTAATAGTATTGCATTGTTTCAATAAATTTAAAAATGTTGTCAGAAAACCAAGATTAATAGTTTACTTTTGAATATCTTCAAAGAATTTTAACTTAAAAATTGTATTTCTCAATTTTTTATCAAATATATATATCTCCTTGTGTTTTATTTAGTGTATTTTGATATTTCACTGTTGTCTAATTTAGCATATACACAGAAGAATATTTTTATTTCTAGGTTACATTTGATGTAAGTGTTGAAGTCCACTCTTGCTCAGCGCAGAAACGACGATCTATTACAATTTACCCAGTTGGATTGACTGACAAGCTTGTTCTTGACTTAGAATTAATATGTGAATGCGAATGTGAAAAACCCCAATTTGATGTAAGTTATCAGAATATTTATAAAACATTTTAATTTTTATTTATTTTCCTTTAATGAAAGAAAAGCCATATCATTTATTATTATTATTATTATTAAATGAAGCTAGCCAGCTAAGTGGTGTTAATATTTTAATTTAAGAGTCCTTTTTATATGTATAAAGAATTATGACTCCTTTCTTTCAGCAACTTTCAATATTTTTCTGTCACTATATTAAAATCAAGTTTGAATTTCTGCTGAAGTAGGGTTCTATCAAATTTTAAGTTGTATAAATTGACAATTAAGACCTACCTTTTCAAAAAAACCTGTGTAAATAAAAATTAGTTTTTTACTAAAATAAAAATTCCTGATGTTAAAATTATTGATGTATTTATCTGTTTTGCTAATTTATTTTAAACAAAGTTATGAAAATAAATTTGTAATGTTTTTTTTATGGTTCTGTTTTTGTATGTCTAGGTTGAAAACAGCCCACGTTGTAATAATAGTGGAACTTATGAATGTGGTGCTTGCACTTGTGATGAACATCATTATGGCAAATTCTGTGAGTGTGATGGTTCTGAAGCAAGTGATGAAGAAGTGTTGTCTAAGTGCATTCAGTAAGTACTTCTCTTTATTACTAATCAAAATGGTATCTACAAAAGAGATATAGAACTAAGTTCTGTGTACATCACCAACAAGATAGTAAAGGTTTTTTTACAATTGAGAATCTCTCAGTTTGAATAAAAATGATCTTTTTGCTAATTCATTTGAAAGAGTGATTGACATATATAACCCTATGTTTTAGCTTATTTACTTTTAAGATTTAAATGTTCTGATCAGTTACATTATGATTATAATTGTCACTCACTACACCTCCAAAAGATAGTCTTATTTTTAGTAGTTTTTCTAGTTTTCAACATGAATTTATTTTTCAGGCCAGGTACCTCAACCGTATGTTCAGGTCGTGGACGATGTATGTGTGGAGTTTGTGAGTGTGCCTCTCGTACAAGTAGCTCGAAAGAAACTTATAGTGGAAAATTCTGTGAATGTGATAATTATGCCTGTGATTATTACCATGGTGAACTCTGTGGAGGTGAGTTTTAATTTTAAATTTTGTATTTGTATGTTTCTATTTTAACATTATCATGAGACGTAGAAAAATGATTTTGAGAAATTGTGTTTAATGAGCAAACTAATGAGACTTTATTTTCTCTTTCATAGAACTTTCATCATTTCACTCAGTATTTCTGGAAAAAAATAATCACCGTTTATTTATTTTATTTATTTTATTTTTTTTTTTTATTGTAAAATAACATTTACTCTGTAAAGTAACTACTGTGTATTTAGACTTTCCTTCAATTGTTCATAAATTTTTAATTTAGTTATCTTTTGTCTCTCTATTCAGTTTGTTTTTATACAATAGATCTCATTTTTATTTTATCAACATGAACAGTGATTTCACTTCTAAATAATTCTTTTGCTTGATGTGTAAATCTTTGAAAAGTTAAGTATATATACTTTGAAAATGAATTCAGTTGTAATTTATATTTTTATTCATAAAATTAAATCCGTTTAACTAATTATATATAGAAGTGAGTTTATATATGAACTTTAATGTTAGTAATGACTGTTCATTGTACTTTATAAAAGCTTTTTGTTTCTTTACTTTTTAATTAATGGCATGCACTATAATTTTATGAATATTATACTAATTATCATTTCTTCTGCCACATGAGAATTGTCAAAAATCGCAAGGTTCCTTTGTTTAGATTCTAATTTTCTTCTGAGTGTACCAAATGTGGAATTCTAAATTATGATTGACATCATTGTTCTTTGGATATGAAATTAAAATTTTTTAACAGCAAAAAGAAAATTTTTGACACTATTATCTGTTTATATTCTCTCGCTTTTCTTTCAGGTGAAGATCATGGAGAATGTGTTTGTGGAAAATGTAAATGCAATGAAGGTTACAAAAACTCAGATTGTGGATGTGCTACAACAAACACATCTTGTATTGCTGCTTCAAGTGGGGTATGTTTTTTGTTATTCTCTTTTTTATTTTAGTTTATTCTATTTACTAAATATCTGTTTTATATGAGCAGAGAAAACAATTACAGGTGGGCCATTTAAGTAAATCTCAGGTATATAAATCGGTGCAGCACAGGAAAGAATGTATAACATAAAATTTGTTAAATTGCTATGAAATAGGATAAGTGATGATATTATTGGAAATGTAATCTTCAAGCATCTGTAATTTATGATTATTGTACATAAAAATCAATATTATATACAGCTATTTTTTTGAGCATGTGTGCATAGTTATGTGTATTATAGAACAAAGAGTGAACATCAGCATTCAAAGAAACCAGTATTAATATCTACAATCATGTAGGAACAGGCACGCATTAAAAACAAACTAAATATCTTACCACTAACTCTTAATCTACCACATTCACTGGTTTCTTTATATTCATATCTAAGAAAATAATAAAAAAGATTATCTTTGGCAAGTTCAAAAAAGAAAAATATAAAGTGTTGGGGAAAAAAAAAAAAAAAAAAAAAGATGAAAGACACATTAAAAAGTGTAACTGATGTTTTCTCAGTACAAAAGAATAAGAAAGAAAATATTTTTATGGGATAAATTTTAAAATGCAAATTGATACCAGCAATGATGTAATGCTAATTCTGTGAACTTTTGGGAACAAATTGGTAAACCGAAACTATACAAGTCATTTAAAATTAAGACAGATTGATGAGTCATGCATAAAGACATTAGGATATTTTGAAGAAACATTTGAAATGAACATCAGGATTGTAGTTGTGGATTGTAATAAAAGCTATGGATTAAAAGGAATAGATTTGCTTAAGGTTAATAGCATGGAATCAACTAATCCTGAAAATAGAATCTTAAAAGATTATAAAGCAAATATTGAAAGAAAATTATAACTCCTCTTATTGTGACTCTTACAGATTTGAATTCACTTATTAACTGTGGTAGTTGTGAAACTACATGAAATTGTTGAACAATGTATTTTGGATCATGTTCTCCTGTGTAGAAGTAAATGTGTCACCTATAGTAGTTCTGAGAAAGCCAAATAGTGATCTTAGAATCTGTGGTGACTATAAAGTAGGCGTAAACCATAAAATTTGTTCAGATTCTTATCCTATACTAAACATTGAAAATGTATTATGTTCATTAGCAGGAATGAAATGTATTACAAAAATTGACATAAAAAGCCCATATCAAATTCAAATTAATAATAAATTTAAGGAAATCACCACTATTAACTCCCTATTTCAGAAAGCAATAGAACATGTTCTAAGAAGGGACATAAAAAAAATATGACAATATATCAAGATATGTTTGAGTGCAACCAATGAAGAAGAGTTGAAACAAAAAAAAAACAACCAAGTATTAAATAGGCTAAGGATATCTGGAATTAATATTAACGAAGATAAATGTATACTTGATTGTGAAAGAATATATCTTTTGGTACCAAATTTCAAAAGGTGAAATTTTACCAAATCCAGGTTTGACACAGAAAATATTAGAACTGTCTCCTCCTACCAATAAAAAAGAATTACAATCCTTTTTAGACTTAACAAATTTTTATAGTAAATACCCAAATATTCAGAACTAATTGAAGTGTTTGCCAAGTTGCATAAAAAGAACAATGAATTTAAGTAAATTAATATACAACAAACGGTATTTGATAATTTGAAAAATGCTCTTGAAAGAACCCATTATCATAATTTTTGTCCCCTCCCCAGTTGTATTAACTACAGATGGTAGTAAAAATTGCATGAATGACACCAAGTTATGTATCTTTCTAGAGCTTTAATGTCTAATTACTCAAAAAAAGAAAAAGAGGCTCTATCTATAGCTATAGTTTGGAGCACTAGTAGGGCTCACCAATTTTTATTGGGCTGAAAGTTCTTGTTGAAATCTGACCATAAACCTCTAGAATTCATTTTTAACCTGAGGAAGGAATTACTGAAAGTTAATCTTACAGAATATTAAGATGGGCCATAAAGCTAATAGCTTTTGATTTTGATATCCTTTTGGAAATGCTATTCCCCATGTAGATGCATTATCCAAATTACATTTTGAAAGGGGACAAAAAGATAACTTATTAGAAAATATGGAAGATGAATATTTGCACTGGGTAGAAACTGACATTCTACTAATAAATTGACTTGCCTCAGAAGCATTGCATAATTAAATATTAAGTAAAAAATGGATAAAAACTAATAAATGAAATAATTGTTCCAAAGTTGAAAAGCCATACAAAGAAATTACATATAACTGTAGAAAATGGTTGTATGTAATTGAGATTTAGTATTACTATCTGAAAGATGTAGAAAAAATGTAATAAAAAGTGTGCATGATGATTTGCATTGTGGGATTACAACTACACAGAAGCATTTAAAATTCAAAGCATGGTGACTTAGATATGTATGCAATGTTGAAAATCTCATACACAAATATCCAAGATGTGCTGAAATAAAAAAAAATTTCACCAGAATAAAGAACACACCTGGCCTAAAGAGACGGAACTTTGGTCTCATGTTCATTTGAACCACACAGATGTTAACAGTGTGCAATTGTTTTATTTGGGTTGACCCTTGTTCACATTCATAATAGGAAAACTAGTACAATAAAGCAAATATTATGGGTGATATTTGCTAGGGATAGAGTATCGAAAACATTGATGTCAGATTATGCCTCAGAATTTTATGATGAAAGTCTGTGTTCTTGGTTAAGAAATATTGGATTTATCCCATATAAAATCCCATCATATCATCCACAATTGAATTGCAGAAAGAATAGTATAGACTATAAAAATGCACACAGATCTCTAGAGAGGAGGAGTGAAGGAAGTCAAAATGAAACTACAAATAGATTTAGGTTTGAAGAAATCTCATACCTGTTCAAGATTTGTTTCTTGAAATATAGAAATTGAATGAAAAAAAAAAAAGTGCCTTGATTCTACTGATTTCATTGATGACACACAAGTAGCACTTAGTTTAGTTATATTACACACGTTTTGACCAATATCTGACTTATGAGCATTTGTTAGCGTCAATGTCGAACAGGTCATAAGTATCGACAAGATGATCTTATACACAACTCTATTCATGCAGTACAGTGGTTTTATGTAACTCTTTTCCTGACTTTGTTGCCATATAAGAAGACTGTATTATTCACTGGTGCTCATGTAAGATATATTCTGAATGTCCTTTTTTTTTTTTTTTTTTTTTTTGTTTTGTCCTAACTTGTATCAGTCCACTAATGTTTTTCTATAAAATGATGAGGTAGCTTAAAATACATAGCAAAAAATCCTGATACTAAATTCCACTTTTATATTAATTATTTTACTGTATTTACATCTTTATGCTTTACTATTTGGACCAACATGCTCACCTTGGTTAACACTCACATTTTGGGCATTGCACCCTCTAGCCTTCTTCAGGTGCCTGCCTTTGGACTTGTTAAGCTTCTTAGAATTTCAAATCAAACTTTTATTCAATACGTAAAGTACCTTGTTCTTATTCTGTTTTCATATCAGTTAATACCCAACAGACATTCACTTTTGTGTCACTTGTCTTTTGCTTTCACTTAATCAGATCCAGGGACTGAACTCACAATCACGGAAGTTGGTTAGATTTGCGGGGTAGTTGTTATCCTAAAGGATGTTTCTAATGCTGATGGCATGTATTTAGATTATTCTTGGGACCGGTAGGGTGCAGTGCTGGATTATACTGAGTGGCCTTGTGCCAGACACCACACTAAAATCAATGCAGTCTACAAGCAAAGTAAAAAGATAAAAAATGCGTGGATGAACAGCTAAGAATAATGGTTAATCCACGCGTGCATGATTAAAATATATTAACAAGATAGCCTCCTCGAGATGACTGAAATAGACTGGGTTTCAACAAGATAATTTTTTATTAAATGCAGGAAAAAACAAAAGTAATTTGTCCGTGGTAGGGACCAATGAAAAAGTTCCTTAAAATAGAAAACAAGATACGGGAAGTTCTTGAAGAAGGAGATGCCAGATAAGTCAATGTACATGATAATATTCATACAAGGAAAATATACTGCGAAGTTTGCAAGGTAATGTGAATGAATACAGATATTACAGGTTTTTTTTTTTTTTTTTTTGACTGGTTCAAACAGATTTCTGTGAAGACCCAAAGTGACGACGGATTGTTGTGTGTATGTTCTGCATCGACAGGGGAGTAGGACTTTGAATGAATAGTCTCTAAGGGCGAAAAGTAATTATTTGGTATATGCATCCTCATCTGTAGAAGGATTTTTTGAATGACGAGCGAAGGACGAGAAAAAAAATTATCTGGTATTGCATCGTCTGGGGAAAGGGTTCTTGAATGACCAACCCCGAAAAGAACGAAAATTAATTATTTTATTTGCATCGTCTCGGGAAAAATGATTATGAATGGTCAGCCAGAAGGGACGAGGATTAATTATTTGTTGGAACATAGTATTATTTTTCGCCAGTCTACCTGAAATATTGACATGGATAAAAATGAGTCTGCTTAGAAAAAAGTCTGGAACACCAACTGACTTTTTTTTGAAACAACAGTTTATCGTTGGACGTAACAAAATTTTTTGGAAAAAGATTTCCAAAATCTAATTTGCATAAAAAGTCGCTTGGCTGGTGACCAAAAACAGTTACTACTGTATTAGACTAAAAAGAGACAGAAAGGGGGTGTCAAACGCGCGAAAACATAGAAAAAGCGTGGAAGAAGGGAGGAAACTCGCGCGCGTAAAATGTCGTGATGGAATAATACCTTATTCCACAAGTACCCGGTTTGGGACAATGTTGTAGGTAACAGGTGAAGGAGAAAAGAAAACATAACCAAAATTGTGTTTATTCCATCCTTTCCAGTCATAGCAATGAATACAAAAGAGTTTAATAAGAGGGGCAAAAACATTGAAAAAGTATTGTCTGAGGAGAGATATTGAATAGGGCATGTTTGGTGATATGCAAAAAGAAAAGGGGAGGTAATCAACTCTTGTGGAGTAAAGTCAAGATGATACAGAGAACAATGGATGATAAGACAAGTGGAAAGAATCTGTGCACATGTTGAACACTGACAACCTCCTCAGTAGACCTAGCGTAGAGATAAATACTACCTGGTAGTCTTTGATTATGAAAGGAAACAAAAAAAAAAAAATCCACCATCTGAGTCAGGTGGTGGATCAGTATAAGAATCCAGGGTACAGACATTAGGTTAAAAGCTCTAGAATATCACCATTTGATTGCCCTAGTGGCTCAAAGAGTTGATTAAAACATCTCTGGTTCCTCGTTAGTTGTGAATTCAACCCCTAGGGTCTGGTAATGCTGAAAAATTACACACTGAACATTTGTAGGGAATAAGACTGAGTATTAATTTATATGAAATATCTGTAAGCATGGAAAGTGGATTAAATTAGCTTGGTTCAAAGTTCCAAGGTTAGCAAATATGAAAACTGACATCTAAAGAATGTTGGAGGGTACAACTGCTGAAACATTGTGTGTATAACACCCAAGACTATCTACTGGCCCAAATAGTAAAGCATATAATACTTTCTCATCTCAAAATTCTTACTAAAATATTACCATCTTGTTTTGAAATCTTTCTCTACCTACATAAAGTAAGTATATTTTCATTTAATCATTAACTGAAAATGAACCCTATCTAAATTATCATTTATTACTGTGTATTTATGTTTAAGAACCTGTATTCAGATTTGTTAATGTTTGGAAATTTTCTCGGCTAAATTTAAAGATATACATATAAGATGTTAATTAGTCTGTTAGTTATGTGTAATGGTGTTGCTTTTATTCCTAACGTAGATCAAATAATTTGATCAACTGCTATAAACACAAGGATATAAAATATTGTAAAGTATTTCTTTAATTACTTTGCAAAACACTGGTTAGTTGCAGTTTGACATTAGAAAACACAAATTCAACTTTTTTGTTTTTAGTTAACTTGAAAATAAACCTGGGTCTCATTTGGATGGAATGAATACTTCCTAATGGTGCAATTTTGTTTGAACATTAAAAGAAAACCCAATTTAATGACATGGTTTTAATTTCAATATTTGAAGTTTTGATTGAAACTGATTTCATGTATTTACATTTTTTTTATTTTTTTTCTTCCATTTTAACTTTCATATATTTTAGTTGCTGTGTAATGGTCAAGGAAGTTGTGTCTGTGGAAGTTGTAAATGTAATGAAAATACTTTATACAGAGGACCAACTTGTGAAGAGTGCCCAGTAAGCATTTCCTATCGATTTCTTATAACTTCTGTCTGTATCTCATGAAATTACTAAAGAAATTCAGTCTAGTTTATTTTAAATGTTATTTTCAATAGTATGTGTATATAATTATATATATATATATATATATGTGTGTATATATACATATATATATATATATATATATATATATATATATATATATATATATATATATAAAATCTCAAGATGACTTAGTTGATACGTGTATTTGTGTAGACACTGTTGTTGTTGTTTTTTTTTTTTTTTTTTTTTTGTTTTTTTTACTATTTTTGCCTACTGCCCTGCATATACAAGAAAACTTAATTAAGAGAATGTACCCTCCAGCAGGATTCAAACCTGAGTCCTTTGCAGGAGTAACCATCATCTGATTCAGTGTGTTTTGACTGCTCAACTATGGAGAGCTTCAATAAAGCAAGGTTCTATTTGCCTTAAAGCATATTCACTTTTAAGTTTTCCCAAGTGCACAGGATGGTAGATGAAATAAACACTTTAAAAAAAAAAAAAACTGATCATCTACTCAAATATGGGTATCCACTAAAAATAACATTTGAACTAATAAAAATGTCAGATTAAAAAATAAAATCCATTAATTCTCTAGAAATTGCTTTGTTTATGTTTCGGATACAAAACTTAGCAGATATGGCTTTCAAGATAATCTGAGTAAATGTGCTTTAAGGCAAATAGATCCTTGCTTGACTGTGAACCTATCCAGAGTGCACATTTTCTTTAAATTTTCTCTAGTGCACAGGCCATTAAAGGCTTACTGTTGAGTTTGGTCATTGCTGAGTACTTCTTGCCCCCAGATTAAACTTAGTTTATAAAATGCAATTGGTTTTTAATTATTTTTTTTAATTTATTCAGACTTGCCCAGGAAAGTGTAATGAAACTAAAGCTTGTGTCCAGTGCACAATTTTCAAGACGGGCAAACTCAGTAAAGAAGAATGTGCTACTAACTGCCATAATATACATTCTGTCAAGAAATTAAGAGGTAAGTATTATAATCATAAGCTGAACTTCAATATTCTGTTTTCTTAGCAAAATAAATTTTCACTAAATATTGCTGTCTTACAATTGAAAAATGAAATGGATCTAACCTTATATATGATATATTCAGTCTAAAAACAATAGTTTTCAACACTACACATTTAAAGTTTGCTTAATTTGCAAAAATTTAAATGCAATGTCAATTGCCATCTACTGTCCTCCAGATTACTCTTTCCTCTTCCTGCTCATTATCAATGTTTCTGTTCCTAATTCTCCCACACCCTGTAACTCCTTGTAGCTTTACAGTCTTGCATGGAGTGATATCAATTAAAAAAAATAACCAAAAAAAATTACTGTCTAGAAAGTAGGTCTCTTCTGTATTGTTGAGTACTTCATTATGCACAAAACTGAAACTCTGCTTAACATTCACCAAGTCTGTAAAGAAGCACATTTATATAATTTGAATATTAAAGAAAGTGAAATCGAGCTTCTGTATTTGAAAACATGTTGCACAGAATAGGTTAATGTAAGTAATAATAAAAAAAATATTAACACTTTAATATTTAAAACTTTTTAATCCCAGATATATTTAATAAAAGAAAATGTATTTTAAACTCAAATGTTAAAAGTAAATATATATTAAAAATTATATCGGAAAGTATTTTATTTTGAGCAATAAAGTGGGTGCTTCTTGTGAATATAACTTTGTGTGTAATATATATATAATATATATATATATATATATATATATATATATAAAATATGTAAAGAACTTAATGTGAAATAGATGCTATTTAATAATGGTTTTCCAAATTACCTCAAAAATCACCAAATTAGACATTTTTTTTTTTCAAAGATAACCAACATACAGATAATAACGATAACATTAACATTTTCTATAATAATCAAATGTGCAGTAATTATATGCAGGATGAATCTTCCCTTAGAAACATTTTAGAAATTATCTACTATAAAGTGTAAAACTGCTAACCTCATTGTCAACAACAATAACTCACCTGCAAAATCCAAATTATAGAGAACCAATATTATTTATGAATTCACATGTCCCTTAAAGAACTAATTCAGGAATAATTATATTGGATATACTACAATATGCCTAACAAGAAGATTCATGTTGCATCTCAATTAGGTCTCATTTAAATACACATAAAGACCTACCAAATTCCATCTACATCATACTAACTGACAATACAAATATAATAGCCTCATCCACGTTTTTTACATAACATCAACTATGGATACAGCCACAATTTGTTGACAGTGTTTGGAAAATAAAACATTACTATAACTAGATACATACGTAAAAATAAAATCATCCTTGATAACGGCTAAAAGAGTAGCCAAAAGCACTTGGATATACTGAGCATTTTGACAATTTCTACATAATTTATACCCAGAAAAGAAAAAAATTATGACACAAGAAAAATTAAATTAAAAAAAAACTTGTCAATCGGTTATTAATGAAAGTTGTATAAAAGAGGGATTGCCTCCCAAATACACAATTAATTATATACATACATGTTTTGAATAATAAAAAATTAATTTTCAGACACACTGGGTTGTATATTAATATTTTTCATTTTATTATTTCAATAGTATTTTCAGGCAGCATGGCCATCAAGAGAAAAAAAATTTCTGCTTGTTAGTAGCAGTGAACTACAGGAATGAATAACTTGATAGAGAAAATGAACTTTATCTGTAATTTTTTTTTTTTTTTTTTTTTTTTTTTTATTCAAATTTTGGTCAGTCTCTTAAGTTGTTATTTATGATAAAGGCTGGCGTATCGAATGTAAACAAATGACGTCATATGTTAAGAAATGGACAAGGTCCGACAATTTATTTATTAAAGACATTTTTATGTTTAACGTTGTTATTTTATAGATACAAGTATTTAAGCAAATGCTCTGTTTATGATAAACAGTATTAAATAAATTTAATAAATAAATTGTGGGACCTTGTCCATTTCTTAACATATAACGTCATTTGTTTACATTCGATAATATCAGAGCATTATATGAATATGCGAATTCCTGGAAGATTGGAGTTTATAAGCGTAAATACGACCTTGTCTACCGATTGGTTCTTTGTAGCCTAGAGGTAGGTACGTCAGCGTATATAGCGGTTCCGTATGGGATGCAGGTTAGAATCCTGTCAAAAACGAATATTTTCTATGAAAATTTTCCTGGGACATTCAGGCCGATAAATGTTATTTAATACTGTTTATCATAAACAGAGCATTTGCTTAAATACTTGTATCTATAAAATAACAATGTTAAACATAAAAATGTCTTTAATAAATAAATTGTCGGACCTTGTCCATTTCTTAACATATATACATATGTGTGATAGGTTAAAGAACAAGTAGGAAACTGATCTCAATCTAACATGTTTCACTTTATTAAAACTTCATCAGAGATCAATATAGAAATGATAATAAATCATTTTATTGTTTCTATCGTGATCTTTCAATTAAAAGAACACAACTCTCAATGGCTGATGTATATAATAAATGTGAATGTCAGTGTGTTACTGTCAGACTTTTTTCAATTAAAGGAACATAACTCCCTAACTTTCAATAGCTCATATTACAGAAATTTTGGATTCACAAGTTTCGTGTTTTTTTTTTTTTTTTTTTTTTAATGATAATAATTTTTATATAAATATGGAAATAAATTTGGGAAAAATCAAAATTGCAAAATCCAGCAAAAGACCCCTACGAAATAAAAATAATTGTTTGTATGGAAAGTAAGGACCTACATGCATCAACTTGTCTTTAAATTAAGTGGCAGCAGAAGAATTATCACTGAACTTTTAAAAGGTAAGCTTAAATACTAATGCAATACTGAAATGCAGCAATCAATTTTGACTTATGTAGTTTATTGTTATCACATATGGTAGCAGTATGCCTTGCAAAAAAATATCTGCTTGCAGAGGACCAGATTGGAATGAAAAGTCTTGTGCAAATAAAAATCCAGATCAAATGGCAGTCAGGAGACCTTCCAATGCTGAGAATATGCAAAGGCTCTCAAACTCCTGAAGCAGAAGGCCCAATTAAGAGCTATCTTGCATGCTGCCCAATAGGCTGGCTTTTAAGCTGTGTATGTGTGCATGATGGATAAATTGTCACCTAAAATATGCAAAAATTAAAATAACACTGACCTCTCATGTTGACACATATTTACCAAAATTATACAAAAATATGCATATTTCACTCTTGGCACAATATGGCCAACTAGATTTTCTTGGTGTTGTATAACCTCCTCATTCTGGAGAGCTCTTGGGCAACAGGGGTCAGTTTAATAAATTTTCCTTCTCTCTTGGATGGTGATCACTAGTTGTTTTGAGTTCAGAGATAAAAACTTCAAGACAGGGAATTTTAACTTAATAATTTTATTAACATTGACGTATACATCTTCTATTTATCCAGTGGGGTTGTTCTCCCTTCACTGGGGAGCCGTTTCAGACATGAAAGAACATGTCTACATTGCTTGATGGTTCAGAAACAACTGACTGAAAACCCTTTTCTATCTATCGTTCTCACACTGGCTCAGCCAATCAAAATTGACTTCCTTGTTTTGTCTTCCATCTGATCTTTAAGGTCAACCCCAGGAAGTTGGAGTAGTGATACACTTCCTCTAAAAAATAATAGTCAGCTAAAATATTATTTAACACTTGGTAGCCCATGATAAATGGTATAAATAGTTCAAATTTGTATATTCTGAGTATTTTCTGTACTGATGATTGATGCCTAAACAAATTAGAGGCAATTATGGTTTGTTGTAACTTTAAATTTTATTTTTATTGTAGAAGGAGAAAATATTAACAACTGCCGTTTAGTTGATGTCGATGACTGTGTTGTTTTCTACACTTACGAATATGTCAATAGACATGAATTGTACATTGAGGTTCAAGAGAAGAAAGGTAATTAATTCTTTATTCATGTTTATTTTGTTAATTCTGTTCTTATAATTGGTCAGATTTTCATGAAACATCTAAGTAATAAAGAAATAGTTTTTTTTTTTTTTTTTTTTTTCAACATGTAGGTTATATTAATAAATTATCACAACACATGTCTGCGTTGTCTTAAATTGTTAATATTTTTTTCTCCTCTGCCTTCAGTGTGTCCCACGTCAGTTAATGTAATGACAATTGTAGTTGGTGTAATCATTGGCATTGTTGCTGTTGGACTTGCACTGCTGCTCATCTGGAAACTTATCACCACAATTCAGGACCACAGAGAACTGGCCAAATTTGAAAATGAACGCAATAAGGCACAGTGGAATGCTGTAAGTAAAATGTCTTTTTAAAAAAAGTATTGATATGATTTTTTTTTTTTTTTTTAGTAATAGAGCATTTTATTGCTATTGATTTTTCTGTGGTTATGAAAATTTATCTTATAAAATTATTTCAAGCATAAAATTAAATTTTAAAAACTTTTCAAGTATATCATCAGTAAATACTATAGACTTTGTCCCATACTGTAAATTATGTTATAATGTTAGCAGTAACATTGAGTGAAACAATCTGCTTTTATTAATCCATTATAGCACCTTCATATCTCTTTATCCCAGCTGCATTTTACATGGGCATGCATGCATGCTCTTTTTTTTTTTTTTTTTTTTTTTTTTTTTTTGACAATTTCATCTCTCCTTCACATCTTCATTCTTGCCAATGTTTTGGTTGATCCATTCCTTGTAATTGAAATATCTATAAGTGTAAAGCAAAAAATAATAGTTTGTGTCTGTAAAAGCAGTTATTCTTTCTTTTACTCATCATATATGCAGTTTGTTTTAATATATTAAGATGTCATCAGATTTTTTTCTTTTGTAAGTTTTTATAACACCTTTGCTGAAAAAAAAAAAATCATGTGGTGTTGGAATCTGAAATTGAATGCTAAATTCCCTCTTTAAAGATTTTGTAGAAAAGACACACACTCATATATATATATATATATATATATATATATATATATATAATATTATAATGTTAAAAAGCTAGTATTGTGGCTACTACTATTGTTTGAAATATTTTCACATTTTTATAATTAAAAAAAAAATTAAGTCAATAATATATCTATATTGCATTTGTGCTTTCTGTTTATATGCACATTTTTATATCATTTAAAACCTCTGCCTTTTCTCTTTTGGTTGCTGCTTCAATTTTTCAATTGCTTTGTTTTGTTGTTTGTGGTTGGTTTTTTTTTTTTTTTTTTAGTGTGACATAGTAAAGAGAATTAAATGTGATTTCTCTGCCATTGTGCTTGCCAATACCACCTGCAATATTAACAGAGGTTGGAGTTAATTGGCTCATGCAAAAAAATTACTTCTGGGGATCTGAAGATGAGCCTTGTTGTGGGTGCCAATTTTATTTGATAATGAAAAAATGAGGATAATCATGAAGGTTTATCCAGAAACACTCAAGCACTGGGAATAAAGCTAGGGGTACCCTATAATAAGCAGTCGGAAGATATCTGGCATCAGTCAGCAAAATGAAGAAAAATGTAGAACTGTGTTCCTGACCTGATTGATAAGCAGCTTACATAGTTTGACAATTACTGCTTTGCTTTTACATTTTAAAATAAAAATTAACTTTTTTCAAAACCATATTTTCCTCCCACTAAACATTATTCTGTTTATTTGGTGGGGCTGTAATGGTGTAGTCTATTATTTAGTATTACAAACCCTCTTATGATGGCTATCTTCTGTATATTTATAGAATATAATTTTATCTTAGATTTTCGGATAATTATAAGAGGTTAATTAGAGAAAATTTTATGCCAATATAAAAATAAACAAAATTTAATTTTAATTGCTAAACTTCAATCTGATTCAATTGTTTTTTTTTTTTTTTTTTTTTTTTTTTTTATAAACAAACATCATAACCTCCTGGTTTTTAAATGCAACAAGGTGCCTAAGGTTTCATTGGAAGAAAAATGAGAAGATAATTATAAAGAATGATCTATTGGCTTTTGTTCAATTTCAGGAGTGATTAGAATCATATTTAATTTATTATTGCAGTTTACTATAAAATATTTTATAAAAAACTATAGCAATATAAAGGGAACCTTACATTTATTCACATTGATATTGATATACGAAAAATTCTATTTATGTCTATCTTCACCTGTTTTGCTTGTGGTTATATTGAACATTAATTTATTGTCTACTTTCTATTATTTATCATTGTTTCTTTTTGCTTTTCAGGGAGAGAATCCAATCTACAAACCATGTACAACTGTATTTAAAAATCCTCAATATGCTGGTGGAAATCATTAACACCTACCTTCCCTTCTTGCAACTGGCAGCACTTTGACAGAAAACGAGCAATTATTATTTTCACCTTGCTGTGTTGCCCCCATTACTTATGCTTTCATGACTCCCTCAAATTCATATTTCAGGTAGATGTTAGCCCTTATTTTTTACTCAACACTTACCTGCCATGTTGATTGTAGAATAGGCAAAACAAAAGTTCCCAAATTTTTTAAGAGTATGTTTTTTTTTAAACGTATAGCTCAACATTTACACACTGAATGTATATGCTTTCTTTCCACTTGTATTATTCATTGTAATTTTTACACTTCCATATTATATTAATGATCAATTTTTTTCATTACCTAAACTTTTTTATGCTTTTCTATATTAGATATCATATGATTTCAAACTCTCTGACTTATGACTGTCAAATTATGTAGAACTTGAATCTATTTGAGAAAAATTTTAGGACAAATAATTAAAAAATCTTTCTTTCTTCACAATTTATAGAATATATTTTTCACTGGATTTTTATTTTTTTAACAGGGATTTCATTGTCTAATTGGGAATTAATTTTTGTGTGTACTGTAAATTTTCAGTACATTGCAGTCAGGGCTTGAAATTAATGTTGCCCTGCCATCCGAGGAATGGTGGAACATTAGTTTGGGACAACTGGTTAGGTTTTGTTTTTCTTTTGAGGGCAGGGACAATGCTGGTGTGATACAAACTCTAAAAAATATTAATATGATTGTAAGAACTAATTTTGCTTTAAAACAAGAAAAAATTTTTTTTTTTTTTTTTTTTTTTAATTTAAATTTTTTTTAAAAGCAAAAATTTTTTTCTGTAATTTTTTTTTTTTTTTAAAAAATTTGAATGAACCATTAACAAACAACATTTATATTACGCTTTCAGTTTATCAAACTAAATTGAAAATACAAATGAAAATTTTAAAAATGATACACATGGAAAGTTTAGTCAAGGCAGGTAATTGTAGATAAAAAAAAAAATTTGATAAAATTTTAAAATCTTTTTTGATTGTGTGTAGTTGTAATATAATACATAATTCTTTATATACAAAATGAATGCATAGACCACAATTAATGTTTGATAAAAGTTACTCTAAGCAAGAAAATTAATAAGAATATTTCCATGTAGAATTATCAGGTCATCCCATGAGTTTGATGAAAAGCTTCTTGAAGCAGCCCTTGAAAAAAATCCTGCTTTATCAGTTGAGGAATTGGCAGTGGTTCTCAGTTCAAACCATACAACTGTTCATCGTCATCTTCAACAACTTGGAAAAGTTCCTAAACTTGGAAAATAGGTTACTCATGAATTGTCTGAAAACAACCTCAAATCCCAAGTTGACATCTGCTCTTCTCTCCATTCTCGCCAACTTGTTTCACCTTTTTTGGATAGATTTGTGACTGGCGACGAAAAATGGTTCTTTTATCAAAATGTTAAGTGTCATAGACAGTGGCTTGGTAAAGGGGAAGGACCCCAGCCACAGCCAAGAAGGGAACTTCATGGGCAAAAGGTTCTTCTTTCAATCTGGTGGGATCATCAAGGAATGATCCACTTTGAATTCTTACCACCTAATGTGACAATTAATGCTCAAATATACTGTCAGCAATTAGAGCGTTTGAACCAAGCTTTTAGAAAAGAAAGACCTGCTCTAGTGAATAGAAAGGAGGTGATGTTTCATCAGGACAATGCGCGACACCACACAGCAAGAATCATGTCACAAAAGATCGAAGAACTTGGTTGGGAGAAAATTACTCATCCACCTTATTCTCTCGATCTTGCTCCTTCAGACTACCATTTGTTTCATAACACAGAATCATTTGGAAGAAACAGCTTTTGTTACACAGGGAAGAGGTTAAAACTGACATTTGTGAGGTTCTTCGAATCAAAACCAAAAAGAATTTTACAGTAATGGAATTAGTAAGCTTGTTAATAGATGGAAGTCATAGATAATCAGGGAAAATACATTGTTGATTGAATCTGTAATTAAATGTAACATTTGGTCACTTGTTTTCTTTATTCAAAATTCAGACAGAACTTATGGGATGACCTGATATTTAAGGTGATTTAAGTGAAAAAAAAATTAAATTGTCAGTTTTATAAAAATTACAGTAAAATTTAACTAATTTGTTTTTGCAATTATTCATTTTTTAAAACTTTAACATTTTAGCTTTTTTAAATTTATTTTAATAGTGTTTTATTATACGACGAACAATTATAAATGAGAAAGTTAATAAAAAGTAAACATTTTGATTTTGGGATGGTTTAAAGTTTTTTTCAGAATGGCTAAAAGACAAGGAGCAGCGGTGAAAAAAAGTTAGTCTGGAACCCTGAGTACAGTTAGGATTTAAACACTCTTACCATTACTAAAATCTTAACTGATGGGAATTTTTTTATTTTTTTATTTTTTTTTAATTGTTACTTCATTAGTTAAGCTTGTTTTTATTATTAGTGACTTTTTCATTAATTTGTTAATTTCCTTTAACTTCTTTTTAGAAACTTTTCATATGCAAAAATTGAACATAGTGTGAAAGGCATATTACTTGAGCTATTAATTAAATAAAAGTTGTAGTTTTATGCTAACTTTAATTCCAAGGGCTATTTAAACAGTTATAACAATTATGGCCAAACTGAATTAAGTGTTGGTTAAAATCGGCCAAAACAAATGTAAATGGAAGGTGTGTGAAATACTTTATGTTGCATTGCTTTATAAAAATCAAAATTAACTACTTTTGACTTGTAGCATTTTTACTTTGATTGGTGCTATTGTGTTTGTACAAATGTCAGGGAAAAAGTAATGCTTGTGCTTTAATTACACTAGCTTCAATAGTAGAAGTACAGAAAGCATACAAAAGTCTCAGGATTCCAAATTTAGTTCTTGCCATAGTGTCCTTCCTTCTCAACTGTGGTATTTCATTTTTGAATGAAGGCATATATAACTGCCTTGTAGAAACTTCTTAGCTACTTTCTTACCCATGTGCAAGTTATTACTTTCTCATCGTTGGAGAAGTGTTGCTCTCTGAGTATTAAAGATGCTCTTGGACAGCAATTATCTTCTACTCTTTCATGGAATCTGTTAGCATTCTGAGAACCCACTTTGTACAGGTTTTTGTGTAACCAATAGACTGCACTAAAGAATAAGCACTACTATGGCTCACCTGAAAGTTTTGTTTTGCAGTAGTAATTCGTCTCTCAGCTGCAATAACAGCATCGGGCTGTTTGGGCTTATCCTCATTCACTGCAGCAGCTGGACTTGCCATGAAGGACAGTGTCTTCTTTCTCTCTTTGATTTAACTACTGACCCATCTATTTGCTATGCTTAGCTTATGTACAGCCATTCCATAAATATTTGTTAACTTAATGTGAATGTTTATTTGCAGCACTTTCTCCTTTCAAAAACTGAAATTCTGTAACCACTCTTATTCTGTGTCCAGAGGGGCAACCATTTTGAAATAGGATTATGGATATCAAGAGTTTACTCCATAATTTCTTTTTTTCATCTGGGCTTTTGATCACTTTGTTTTATAGTTAAAAATTTTTATTAATATTTCTAAAATTAAATTAGAACAGGCATTACTTATTGACTAAATCCTCATAATTATTTTATTTCTAATTTAATTTTTTATTCATTAATAACCAAAAAATATTAGCCTTTTATTTTTTTTCTCTTTGATATTAATCTTGATATTTGAGTTAGTCATTTAGCAAAATGATTATTCTAATAAGTCCTCTCATGATAAAGAGCAAATTACTTTGTAAAAATCAAAATCTTGACTTAAAATTTAATTTATAAATTTAACCAAATATTTTAATTTCTTTGAGGAAAGAATCAAAATTTTAAATATGCTTATTGTAAATCTTTTGTTGGTTTAAGCTTTTCATTGTTTGCTGATCTTTTTTTTTTATGTCTAGTCAGCTAAATTAATTTTCTTTAAATTTTTTGTTGGTGGCTACTTCTAGCATCTTATTTGAATCTGATCTGGAATGCACAAACAAAAAGACCATAATTATTATTTTGTGAAATAGGGCTAGCTAAATCATTAAAACCAAACCTTTGTCTTTTCTCATTTAAACTGGGTACCTCCACTAAAATCATGATATCTAAGGTTTAAAATCAATTTTTATAAATGAAAAAGCTTTCTTTAAGCTTTCATTTTAGTTTGATTGAAAGCTAAAGCATTAAATTTACTATTTCCAATAAGCAAAATACTCTGGTGTATTTCAAGCTAAAATTGTATTTATTGCAGTCCTCTTTTTTTTTTTTTTTTTTTTTTTTTTAGTCATCTTTTATCACAGTGTAATTCTCTGTATTAAAAAATCTTCCAAAAATAAAATTTGCTTTTCTGAAACTTTATTTGAGGAATATTAATTGATTTAAAGTATAATCAATCTGATTTGAAACTAATATTATTTACTTTAAGTTAAAAATAACAGAAATGAATTTTTAAAACAGTAGCTGTTATTTACATGCTTTTCACCACTCGTCAATCACTGATAAGGTATTGACAGGTTTATTGTCGTTCTATGGAGACTTTCTCTGTTAAAACAATTTAAGAAAATAACTGAATGCTTTTTATGTGATCTTAAAATTATTGGAAATATTCTCTGTAATCTAATTTTAGGAATGTTGACTTTAAATTTACTATAGTCATTGATCTTATTTTTTGATAATGTTGTGTATGGTCACACATACTTTCAAAATGGGTTCTTTATACATATAAAAAATTAAAAAATATTTTAAAAATCTTAGTATGCAATGATTTGTATTAAGCATTTCAATTTTCACTTACTTATAGTCTTCATTTAATAACTTAATAACCTAATGAGGTCAAAGTTTTGAAGAATTTTTTGTAATCTTTATAAATTATTATAATAAAAAAAGATAAATGAAAACAATTCTTGTAAAAATTAATTGAAAAAAAATTTTTTTTTTCTTTATACTATCACGTCCTTAATATATATATTATTTATAAAAGCAATTAAAAGCTCATCTAATTAAATAT